GATAGAGAAACCCCTTGTGCAAAGTAGAGCCTATATAATCGAAATTTCTTGTCCTCCTTCGAAACGAACTTTATCTGAGTTTTTACATTAAACTTAATTGAATTAGTGGAAGAATAAAGTAATTTCAAATTTTAGGGTTTATCAAAAACTTTCCTTATGGTAAAAGTGATCAGATGTATTGAATTTATTTGGAAACTATCCTATAAATATATGGAATAATATATATATTAACCATTTATGGTCACTTAAAAAGGTTTTTGAATACCTTTTCACTGTCCAAAATGTAAATTCCACTTAAATATCTATTGAAAACAAAAGATAATTATGAAATATTTATAAAATTAATCAAATATTCATAAAGCACATCAATCCAATCCGTTTTCAGTTGTTTTATTTATTTATTTTTTTGTATATTTAAGTTTATCTAACACCTTTGACACGCTTTCAATGAAACTATCGATCAGCGAAAGCTGCTGCGGGTGGCCGCCCATCAAAATCGATGACAGTTTGTCTATCGATCAACAGCTTGAGAAAACAAAAAAAAAAACTTTTTTTTTTGTTTTAATATAAATTAGTTTGGTATTGTGCGACAATTTTCACACACCAATCAGCGACGATCAGCTCGCTAATTTTTCGTCGTTGTCTAAAACTGGCGTCCACCATTTTGAATTGATTTGCATGCATAAAATGCTAACTAAATCGCATATTGATTAGCATAAGTTCTCCTCAAATAAAATCGAGAGACAGAGTGAGAAAAAACCCCAATGTAAGGGCAAAACCCACGCCAATCAATATTAGTTGTTGTTTTTACATTTTTTTTTTATATTTTGGTATTTTTATTGTTATAAGTATAAGATTTGTTGTTTCAAGCTTTCGCTGCGAACTCAATTCTTTTTTTTCTTCAATTTTTTTTTGGTGTTGGACAATAACAAAATTTACGTTGAGCAAATCAAATGCAGATTTTATTGAGATTTTTTAGTCGATTTTCGTTATTGGTTTTATTTTTTTTTTTTTTATCTGTTTTGTGATCTTCTTTTTCGTTGCTGTTACTGTTGTTGTGTTCGTCAACAACTCCCGCACAATTTATTAGATAACGGTACGAGCATGGGCGAGTATTGTTTTCTTATGAAAACGACAAAATGTCGACGTTGTTAGCTGTCGATCGCGTTGATATGATAATGCCGCACATAAATATACAATGGACGGGCCTAAAACACATGCGACATATCCCGTCTGTGTATGTATATGTTTATCTGTCTATCTGTATAAGTATAGGCTTTCTATGCATGTATTTGTATCTTAAAGATCGTTAGCTGCACAAGAATAACATCATTTGTCATGAGATTCGAGAGCAGATTGTGGCCGATAGATCAAAGGGGTGAGAGCGAGACAGCGATACATAGTGAGCGGAAACTACATTAGTTTTTGTTTTAAATTTAATTTAAATTTATATAACGCTCTTTTTAATGTGCTGCTCTTGTAACATTCGGCTTTTAACATTTTTTTTTACATTTTACTTGGAGCTGAGGCTGCATTTTTATTGGTCTTAATTTTTACCTGCTGCCTGTTGATTTGCTTTTTAACATTTAAATTGGTCATTTTTCTTGTTGTTGCCAGATTTTTTATAATTTTTATTTCATTTTTCTGCTGGTTCGGTTCATTTCTTGTTGTTGTTGTCGCCCACTGCTTGTTTTTTCTGGTTTTTTATGGTCATGTGTGTGTGCGTGTGTGTGTGTGTGATGAAAACGCTTCGCCCAAATGTTATTTTGTTGTTGTTTCTACTTGTGTCTCTTTTTCGTTGTTGTTGTTGTTGCTATTGTTGTTGTTTATTGCCTTTTGCCAAATGAATAAAAATATATACAATATTTGTGTGTGTGTGTGTGTATGTGTGTGTGAGTGACGTTTGTCGTTGGCGTAAAAATACCAACAACAAAATGAAGCAAAACCAAAATAAGTCAAAGCACATGCAGTGGGCGGTCAGTAATTTGAGTTGGAATATGCTGAGGTGGGCTGCGGTGAGGTGAAGTTGAGTTCAAAGCAGCTGCAGGCTGCAGCATTGCCAAAAATTGTAGATGAAAAGCTACAGTGGTGAGCATCCATCAAATTACTGTTAAATTTTACAAGGAAAAGGGGAACCAGATTTTCTTATTCTTAAACATTCATTTATTTATTAATTATTTAAAAACTTTATGCGCCTGTCTACTGCCTATAACGATTAGCAATAAAATATATCTCACTTCATAATTCTGCCTGCATTACTTTTATTTACATGTGCCAATTGGTCATAAGATGTCTGCAAATATTGACTGCTTTGATAAACATTAAAAGTCAAGGTATTTATGGACATTTTTATGTACATATTAAAGCAACAAGTCAAAAGGTGATATCCAACCAAGTTCCCAATAAGCCGCTGCGCCACATCCGGCTTATACTGCAAATGTAATCAATTGAATTTAATTGCTTATAAGCTGGTTCGTAAAAAAGCATCAACGACTACGACTACAACTACAACTACAACGACAACTACAAAGCTGATCAGTTGTCAAAGTGAACGCTTATGCTAGTACTTAAAACATGCATGTATGTACACAGATGTGTATGTGTGTGTGTCCGTGTGTATCTTGCATGTCTAATTTGTATGTCTCTCTTTTTAGTGTAATCGATTCGTTTCGCCGTGATCAAGCAGCTATTCAAAGGCACATAAAATTTGCTCGTTTCCATTACACCCCACAATTTGTCTCTCTCACAGCACTGTGCAGTTGTTGTTGCTTTTTCTTTTTTATTCTTTTTCAGCACAGCAACAGCAGAGGCGGCTAACAGCAAGAACAACAACAGCAAAAGAAACGGCAACAAAAATTGAAGCTGTGTTTGTCGCGTGGTCTGCGGAGTCCCTCTGCACWCTGCGCTGCTCTGCTCTGCTCGCACAGTTTCCCTCTCGCTCTCTAGTATCTGCGCTGTGGTGCGTGGGCACGAGAACGGAAACAGCGCGCAGTCAGCGTCGGCGTTGTCTGTCGCAGTTGACGTTACGTCAATGCGAACTCAATATATATAAGTGCTCGTGTGTATGTGCGTGTGTGCGTGCGAGTGCCTCTGCATATTTGTTTGTATTGGCCTATGGCTTACAAAAACAACATAAAAGGTAAAATCGTTGCCTATTGCCGCGCTGTCTGCGGCAACTAATTAGGTAACGTGCCAGCTACAACAGCAGCAACAACAAGAACAAAACCATGATAAGAGCAGCGCAGTCGCTGCGCAGCTACAACGACGCAAATAGCAACATAAATTTGCACACGCACACACACTCTCAAAACACACATAGAAACACACTAACAACAAAATCCAATAAGAAAGCAACTGCGCGGCCTGCCAGGCTGTCTGTGCCAGCGGCTGCTCCGTCGCGCTGCTTTGTTGTTGTTGTTGCTGCTGCTGGTGCTGCTGCTTTTGTTTTTGTTTTTATTTTGTGTGTTTTTTTGTTTTTTTTTTGCAAAAATAAATTTAATTTTGTAGCCATTAATTTTCCACTCTAGATACGAACGCGAGACGCTGCCACCGTTGCCCATAGCTTGTCCTCTCGCTCGCGCCCGTGCTACGTCTATATAGACGGGGGCTAGCTAATTAAATAACTAAAAAGAGTTTTTATAATTGTTGGCTTATTTCATTGCCTTCTGCTTGGATGCTTTGCACAGCACATACACATATACAGAGGCAGAAGCAGACAGACAGCTGCTGTATGCACGCACGCTTATAACGGTTTATTAAAACGAAGCCGCAGCAAACAGGGCGGCAAGCAAGGGTGCGCGAGCAGTACGGCATGAGCCATGAGGGAGAAGACGTTTTAAAGCTTTACTTCAAGTTCAATATTTTTCGCACATGCGAGTATTTATGCATGTATATGTAAATAAAGCTGTGTTTGTCTGTCTGTCTTTGTGTGAATGTGTGTCTGTGTGTATATATAATAAATTAACGTCTTTTTTTTTATCGCTTTAATGATAAACCGTTTTGCTTGATTGGTCTAAAGCGCATAAATAACAAATAAACAAAGCGCAGTAAAGTATTATTATTATTATTATTATTATCATTGTTGTTGCTGTTGTTGGCTTTTTGATAAGAATGAGAGGTAGCTTGTGATATCTGATATCATATGCCAAAATATATGTATATATAGACATAAGTGTACACATACTCCCCCAAAGGTGTGCTTTGTGTGCCAGTCAGGTGGAGTGGACTTAATGAATTAACCTTGGGAATGTCTGATAAAAGAAATAAGTCAAAGAATTTCAGGGAAACGCTTTTTATAGATAGTGTCAGACTTGTCTGAGCAAAAAATATCTTACAGATACCTGCCTGAAAAAGTATAGATATTCATTTTTCGTTTATTAAATATTATACGAAATAATTTTTTAATAACATTACTTTTAGTTCCCTTTTACAGACAATCAATTTTTAACTGAATGATTGAGGACTATTTGAAAGACACTCAAACATCTTAAGAAGTCGAATTAAGAAATCACTAATTTTTCCAATTCGCTTTTAATATTTATTTATTAGCAAGAATAATTTTAATATTATGTTTATAGTTGTTTACGATAATAAAGATCATGAAATAACGTTTTATAGACCTTTTCAAATATATATTCATATATCTAGTAAAAATGTTTTGTTTACCATTTCGCTATAAGCTCATGCAATAATAAAGAACATTTTGTAGAAATCAGATAATCTGTGCGACTTATGAGAACATTCTGTGTTCCTATATTTAGCAATTGTGATACTTAAATGTGGAATTCGACAACAAAAAATTCCTTTTTCATTTCAAATACAGTAAATAAAGATATAAATTGATACATACATACATCATTTGAGAAAAAATTTTAAAAGAAAAACTCTTTATATAGCAAAAAAGTATCATATATATATATATAGGTGCTAGAAAAATAAAATTGGTGATCCAAGTAGTCAAAGGCTTAAACTTCACACAGAAACAAGCCTTATAGAAGTTCGAATCCTATTTTAGACAGTAGTAATCAGTATCACAACACGATAGGAACACAAATATGACTGAAGTCTTAAAAACGATTTTAAGAAAATTCATAAAACGCGTGAGTAAAAAAAAAATAAATAAATAAAGTAAAGAAAACAACGGAAGAAAAATAGTAAAATGATATAAAAATAAATAATATGATATAAAAATAAATATATAAAAAATATTCAAATTGGCTCATATATGTCTTTACAGATAATGTCATCATCTGAATCTTCCGAGTCTTTCCAAACCAACCTAGAGCCGAAGATTCTTCGCAGTAATCGCGTAAGTATTTCAATGAAAAACAATTAGTATAATATTCATATTATCTTTGTTTATGCAGATCATCATGTCATCCTCGGAATCTTCCGAGTCTCCCCAGCCTGAAGTGGAGTCCAACGAGCAGCCAACGCTTCGTCGCAGTAATCGCATCAAGCAGATGGAGAAGAGAAAACGTCGACTGACCGAGGAGCAACCGACTGACACGGGAAAAATGAAACGAATGAGGACCCTATATACCAGGCAAGTGTCCGAGTGTCTGTCCAACAGGCTAGAGGACCTGGAGTTGGAGCACCAGGAGAAACAGCAGGAGATGGGTAGGTTATTGGAGGCTGCATCAGAGGAGCTTTTAAGGCTGCAGCAGCAAAATGGAAATGGACAAGGGTCCCCCCTTTGTGTCTGCACCGAATTCAATGGGGAACTCTTCAAGCTGTACGATCTGCCCGAAGATGTGGAATTTCATATTCCAAAAAAGAGCAGACATAGACATAGAAACGGATGACTTCCATATTAACAAAA